TTTTCCCAAACCATGCCAAACCATGAAAGGTGAACCGCGTTATAGCACTGTATATATATATATATTTCATGGTTTGGCAGAATTTTTTAATGATTTGACATGCTTTTTTCTTTTGATAGAACATATACATATATATTTTCTTTTCTTTTGACATCTGTGGATTTCGCCTAGCGCAGGCTATTTTGAGAACGTAACTCCTGCGATAAACGAGTGACCACTGTACTGTATTTACAGTGCTTCCCACACATAGACTTTACTTGGGCAGGCTGCCTAAATTTGGTGACACTTTTTTTTTTTACTAACATTATCACCCTTTTATTTTTTTCCAAAATATAGGAATTATTTAAAGCTAATTTCTAGTTTGTTCTTGGATTTGTGACATCACAGACTAAAAGATGCCATATGAGGTGTAGAGCGTATTTGAAAACAGTCACAGCCAATTAATAAGGTTATTGATATTTATGTATTTGATGCTGGTTATTTTAATGTATTGCTTGTGTATTGAAAGAATATTTTAAATAGTTTATATAATAATAATAAATTAGTTTTAAGCTTACTTTCTTTTTTAATATTTTCATGTTTAATTATTGTGTTTATATGGATATAAATTATTATTACAATTTACTATATATTAATCATATAATATACATTATGAATATATAAATGTAGTCACATTCAAATGTCTTTTTATTTTTGGGTCGATGGGTAGATAGGTACCGTAGGTAGTTATGTAGGTTGATGAATTGATTGCCAGATTGAAAGATTGACGACATCAACAGAAGTGTGCCTAACTATCTAGCCTGAAAGGTACATCTCAAGTGCTTTATTCGCTGTTAAATTTAAAAAATGTGAGTTTAAATGCCATTTTACTTGACATTTATTGCCATACTACTGAAAGCAGCAGCAGATAGTTCACCTCAGATCTTAAAAACAAAATAAACTGAAATTGAACTTTAGAACTGTGACTCAGTGTAAACCAACACAAATCAGTGATTTAGCATGTTTAATAAAGCATGTTCAATAATGTTAAAGAGTAATATGTATTAATTGGATTATAAACCTTACCATTTCGTTGAAGTGCATTGAGTGCACTTGTCACAACCAGCGATCGCTTCCCAGAGGATCGCTGGTTCTCACACGAACTCTCAGGACTACATTTCCGCATTCCCCAGGACTACACATTCATACATGCACTGCTCCCAGACACGCACGCCTGCTCATTCATATATCCTGATTGCAAGCACCAGCTGAACCTTGTTCACAGACTGATTTGATTCCATTCATAAGCCACTCTTTCACACTCCCAGTTGGCCGAGTCTTGTTTTCCCAGTGTGACATTACGAAGCGTTTCTCCCTGTCTTGTTTATCCGTGTTTAGACCCTAGCTTTGCATTCCTTGTTATCCTGTTTAGCCGCCTGCCTTTAGACCTATTGCCTGTTATATTGACGACGACTCTGGACTGCCTTAACATACCCGTTTGCACCTGATTTGACCATTGCTTGCCTGACATTGAATAAACTGCATATTGGATCTTACCTCCTGTTGTCTCCTGTCACTCCACCCCAGTCGTGGTAACAGCACTATTCTGTGCTTCTGAATGGCTGTGTTTAAATTTCTGTCACACTGCGTTTAGTGCAAATATCATCATGTAGCGTGTTGTTGGGATACAGGGTTACAATGTAACTTGCTCACCCAATGTTTGCGCTCGTAATATTTATATTATTTGCTAATTAATAACCACCTCATGTTGAACTCTGAATCTACATCTCATTTCAGAGTCCCCCCACTGGAGGTTGCGTTTAGGTCACAGACGCATGCTTAAAGAGCCTTTCTGACTGAATGAATGAAATACTCTGTTTTCCAACAAGGCAACCCGGGGTGCTGAAATATAATTGGCTAAACTGGCAGTGGGTGGGTTAATTGACCAAAACAAAGACAGACATTCCATCACGTAATGCACATTTTCAAAGCAGAATAACTGACTCCAGCATTGTTTTTCTGATAAACAAGAATGTTCACTTGGCATGTTTCTGAAATATCTGCACACATATAGTATTTTTATGCTTTAGAGGAGTCAAAAACTTACATACGGCTCCTTTAATATGTGGTTTTCTAGTTTATTATGATTCAGATGCATTGGAAATCACACGATTAGGCCTCTTACTTAAATAAAAAAAAAATTGTGAGTTTATTCTTAACACCTGATCATTCTAGTGTGCACTGATTCTAGTCTTTATGGCAACAGTCTGGGGTGTAACATAAGCTTAATTCATGAGGGCTTAGTGAACAAGCACACAAGACACACCGCATCTGCGTTACACACAGCAGAGCAGTGTTTGTTGCCCCTACTAGTAGACTAAAACAAAACAGGGGTGAAACTGCAGATGAGATAAGTGATGCGACCAGCCTCATCTCGCTCTCTCAGCGTGAAGCCCAACAGATGTTTGAGTTTCCAGAGCGTGAAGTGCAGAGATTGTAACAACTTGTTTCCAGAGCTTGTTGATGTTGGTGTGAGTGAAACAGCCCGATAAGGGAATCAAGAGACTATTTATTTGCAGATCTTTGCTAGTTTTTAAGGTCAGAGGACTGAGTTTAGCCTGAGATGGGATCACTGTAAATTTAACACGGATGCTAGTTTAAGTACACATAAGGGGAAGATGCTCTAAATTTGCAACTATCTTTGGAGAGCTGCATTAAATTATGGTTTTAAAGCTGGATGTTGATGTCTCAGTGGTGTCATTTCTTTTTACATTTTAAATGTTGAGACACCATGCTGAGATACAGATTCTTACCTTTTTGAGAGGTGCACTGTCAAGCGATTCCAGCTGTGTTGTACACATTGCACATCTTCTGTATTTTCTCATGCACTTATATATATGTTATATATGACCAGCCTTTTTTGGAGGATTTCAATGAGTTTGTGGCATTGTCAAGATGCTATAGTCTAGAGATGCTCATTTCAGTTAATTTTCAACCGTCAAGTGCTGCTCGTTAATCGAATATTAAAGGTTAAGTGGTCAGATTAATATTAAATTATAATAATTTTTTTAAGAATAACTGACGTGTCTATTTTGTGTTTCACACATTAAATATTGCATTTTAAAATACTGATTTATTTTAACATGTGAACATGTTAACAACAGAACATAACAACAGAACATCTTCACGCACCTTTAGTGTTTCCAACAGCACAGAAATAAAGAATAAATGAAATAAAAAGAACAAAATAATTAATCCTGCTTAAATTTCAAATTTAGCTTACAAAACGAAAACACTGACTGAATTCTTTTTAGGAACCTGCATTTTTTTTCCTATCATATGTTTTTTTTTTTTCCGTCAAATAATAATAGTAGGTTACCTTAAACCGATCACTCCACGTAAAATAGGCCTATGTATTTAATGAATGATCTGCTCTAATTCTTATATTACAAACCTCTGTCAACATTTTTAATGTAAGTAATTAACGATTATGTCTTGAGCATCTGATTTTACATTATGCTTGTGTTTTTATGTCCTTTCTCACTCTCTGTTCATGTGCGCGCGCTGTGTGTGATGAAAGACAAGGCTCATATGTTGACTTTTTGTAAAGTATAGGCTACTGTAGCATATAACAATTTTGTTGTTTACATATGATATTGTATAAATTTGCATGCATGTTCTATAAGCTATAAAATGAAAGCCTCAGTTTGGTGCGGAGTTATCATTATGCAAAAATCAAGAAAATCTTTGAATTTGTTTGATTTGTAGATTACGTTTCAAAAATGAAAGGCCATTTTTTAATGTAAACGGAAAAAAAAAAAGCGTAGTGCTCTTTTTTTATGTCACTAGAAACGACAAATTCAGCTGCGTATTGTGTGCGAGTGTTGCTGTCAATGTTATTATTAGATTAAAACATCTGTTTATATTTTTCAAAACTAATACTACTACTAAGGAATCAGAAAAATATCCATCTGTAAACACATTTTATATTTTAAATAAGGAAAATAAAAATGCGTTATGGATGTGACCAAAAAAGAATGCGAGTTTGCAGCATACAACATACTTTTCTGTGAAATATTGCTAATAAAAAAGGATAAGAGTTGGCTCTCTATTGATCATACATGATTGATTTGATTTTATTTGACATTTTTGCATTTAACAGGGAAAATCTCCATTATTGATGTGACATTTCTCCATTATGGATGTGAAATTGCCACTTGTGTGACCTTGGTAAATCAAATATAATTATTAGAAAACATTGACAGAGACACCGTGAAGTATCTTTGAAGTACTAAACAAGCCTAAACAAAAATCTTGTAAAGGGTTTCACTTTTTATGGTTGCATTTGTATGGAATTGCTCATACCTACAGTATACCAACAAACGAGCTTCAACAATTTTTAATGTAACTTCTCCCAGTGAGGGAAATAAATGCATACAAGCTCATACAGCAGCAAAACTTGCACCATACACACCTGTCTTTAGATTGATTCTTGCCTTCTTGTTTTTGTAAATAGTCAATATGTCAATAGTCAATATTCTGAAATTTATTCTCACGCTGCAAGAAATCTGGGGTGCGTTTCTCAAACAACGACGTAACTTACGGCTGAACTATCTTAGTATGATGCATCGTTTTGGAAAAGAACGATGTAGTGACGAGTGTTTCCTAAAACCGTAGTTTCTCTGTCGCAGATCCATCGTTTGAACCTTGTTAGTTATATCGTAAAGTGCTCATAATGATGTTCTAAAGGGGGTGGAGTAACCCCATAATTTCTTTGTGCAAATTATATTGTTTTACACGCACATGCATTAAAAAAAAATCCAATAATATTTTTGCTAAAAACATGCACTCGTTTTCGACACAGTTTGCGAATGTTCGTTGGAATGACGGATTTGGGAAACGCCAAATCAACAAACTTGCCTTCTTGTTTTTGAAAATACTCAATATGCTAAATTTAAGATCCTCTGCTCCTCATTTTTTGCCTTCAGAATAACAGATACCAAATGTGCATTTCTCAACAGAAACTGGTGTGCCTATGTGGTGACCAAGACTGTGAGCTGTGTGGTAGAAGATGGAGTGGAGACTTACGTGAAGCCTGATTACCAGCCATGCTCCTGGGGAGTTCAGTGTGCACGTGTAGTCGTGTAAGTATGTGCTTTTATCTGCATAGGAATATTTTCCCCTAAAAAGGCTTAGACTACTTAATAACTCACATTTACTGGTACATTTGGGTATAGACTTACTGAATAGAAAGTGTTGTTTGTGTGCCTGTCAGAGCTTCAGTCCCAACAGATGTCTTTTTCCAAACAATGAGTAATTTGCTCCATTTTGAGTTGCATCATAAAACGCTAAACACTACTGGAAAATCCTTACTAGCTATGTTTTGCAATATGCTAGGTACTTTCTAGGAAGGCCCAAAGTTATAAATAGTTGGTCCAAACTGGTATTTTGGTACAGTGAACTGGACATTTTGGGTCAGCAACAAGCCAGCAACCTACAGTAAACATGCTTTTTTTCTGTCTGAGACCACCAGCTGGAAACTAGAGATCTGCACAGGACTGAGTTTTTAGTCCCGCTCCTGCCAGGTTTTATTCCGCACCCGAAAGCTCCCGCTGTATATTTAGCCTTTGTTCACCCGCTGCACGACCCACCTCGTTTTCTATCTGACCCGACCATTCAAGCCAAATTTAGATCTGGTTTCCAAAATCTCACGTTTAAATTGGGTACTAACAAAAGAGAGAGAGAACGCATGAAACTGTAGGTTGTGCACATGTTGTAGGCTGAAGGTCAGTTTAGTTTGCCCCTTTGTGATTAGACATGAGTGCCGCCTTGAACCGTGATGTGCGGTGAGGTTTGTGGCTGGTGAGGCACTGACTCTTTCAAAGTCAGATTTACAAACATATCCACTCAATATATTTGCCTACTACCGATTGTATTTCGTATATCATATCAGCCGTATTTCTATACCCATAGCTAGAGGTGTGAACCTATACTGGTCTCACGGTTCGGTTCGGTTATGATTATCATGCCTTCGATTTGGTTCAATTCGATATTTTGGTGCATCACGGTGCATTGACAATAAAGCTAAACACATACTGTGAGGGCATAAACGGAGCAGTGCTCGTAGTGTGGAGCGAAAAAAAAAGAAAGACAGCTGTGAAACAGAACCAGCTTTGTCTTTTTGTAGGAAACACACTTTAGATTTTTTTATGGTAAGAGGTTTTTGAGTTATTGCCGTCTGTAACTGAATGTGTGTCAAGAATATCGAAAACAAAACCAACTGAATTGCGCTCATTTCTGGCGCCCTCCTGGATATACAGCACCCTTAGCATTTGCCTATGGTGCCTATGCCACGGGCCGGCCCTGAGTTGGCTGAGTGTTGTAAATACTCGCGCTCACGAATTGTCCACGTCTGCAACGCGGTGCACCAAAGAAACAATTAATTTTGACACCCCTACCCATAGCAGGTACACATTATATCGATTAAATATGCCTCCCAAAAAGCACCCTGATGGATGCTACAGAGTACAGATAGCCTATAACAAGTGACACAGCACCACGGCGGATGCGCACGCTCACTCGCTCTCTATCAGTTGGGAGCGATATATTGCTGTACCGCCCGCTCCCGTTCAAATTACACCAGAGTTACTGACCGCTACTGCATTTTATTCTGAAATGTATTCCCACGCTGCAAGAAATCTGGGGTGCGTTTCTCAAACAACGACATAACTTACGGCTGAACTATCATAGTATGATGCATCGTTTTGGAAAAGAACGATGTAGTGACGAGTGTTTCCTAAAACCGTAGTTTCTCTGTCGCAGATCCATCGTTTGAACCACGTTAGTTATAACGTAAAATGCACATGATGATGTTCTAAAGGGGGTGGATTAACCCCATAATTTCTTTTATATTGTTTTTACATGCACACACATTAAAAAAAATCCAATAATAGTTTTTCTAAAAACATGCACTTGTTTTCCATATAAATTGAGATATATGTAAATGGCACATATAGTGCCAATGTTTCCTTTTACAAATATTATTGAAACATTACACATTCTTTTCTAAAACATAAGAAAATGTAACACATTTGTAACACAGCCAGGAACTATGTTTCTAAATACAGCTCTAGAGGTGTAGTTGCAAGTCCACAAATTTGCGAATTTTCGTTGGAATGACGGATTCGGGAAACGGCAAATCAACAAACTATGTTTGTAACAATGGAACTTGCGACCTTAGTTGGCTAACGATGGTTATCAGAAACACACCCCTGGTCGGGTCCTGCGGCTCCCACGGTACAGCCACTGAAATGCAGATCTCTACTAGAAACCAGCTAACATGATCAGCTAAAGTTTTTCATTCAAAATAATGTGCATGAAAGTACAGTAGGGTTAGTGGGTCTGTGGTTCTCCTATTCTCCTTTGACCGATTGCACAATGTGTACAGTAAGTTACAACTTAGACTACATGAGACCTAAAGATAATAAAAAAAAAATTATCATGTGACTGTAACTAGTTTTTTACTTCCAACCAAGATTAATGTTTTATTTTTGTCTTACTTAACAGACCTCAATTCTTTAGACAAATATGCTGATAAACCTTAAGATTACTTAGGTTATTAGCATAAACAAGATCTAAACAGTGCCCTTCTCTTTGTAAACTTGATAAACTGAAATTTACTTGATTTTTAACAATAATTTGAAGGTTGCTCCTTGAAATGCAATCGGTATCAAAATTCCTAAACTAAAAGTTCAAGTTCACTAGTCTTACCATAAGTTTATATTGTACACTACCTGACAAAAGTCTTGTCATCGATCCCAGTTGTAAAATCAACAAATAATAACTTGACTTGTAGTCGATCATTTGGAAAAGTGGCAGAAGGTAGATTTTTCTGATGAACAATCTGTTAAACAACTGCATCCTAATCATCACTAATACTGCAGAAGACCTATTGGAACCATCATGGACCTAAGACTCACAGTAATCAGTCAAGTTTGGTAAAGGAAAAATCAAGGTTTGGGGTTAGATTCAGTATGGGGCCGTGCGAGAGATCTGCAGAGTGGATGGTAACATCAATAGCCTGAGGTACGAAGACATTTGTGCTGCCCATTTCATTACAAACCACAGGAGAGGGCAAATTCTTCAGCAAGATAGCGCTCCTTCTTATACTTCAGCCTACACATCAAACTTCCTTAAAGCAAAGAAGGTCAAGGTGCTCCAGGATTGGCCAGCCCAGTCCAAAATGAATATTATTGAGCATGTCTTTTGGTAAAATAAGTGTAATCTAGAGGCCTTTGCCTTTCATATAAGCCACTTGTGATACCACATAATCAACTAGAAGTCAAGTTATTATTTGTTGTTCTTAAAACTAGGATAGGCAACAAGACTTTGGTCAGGAAGTTTATAACATTATGATATCCATCACGAATAAACATAATGTTTTTATACAGCATGTATATCCCTACATACCATCCCAGCACTTATACAAACAAACTGTATCAAATACAGCAGTTTTGCTGGCTGTCAGCTCTGTCAAACCGTGTTTGTTTACAATCAGACTTAATGTGTTTTATTTAAACGCTTTTGACCTTGATTGCTTTCCATATGTCACTGGATCATTCATGGCAAACTTAATTTTATGTGAATATACATTACTTTACAGAAAGCTTATGACATACTAGGTAGCTACGTTCTGCATCAAAAACAAATAGCACAAAAATTATGTACACATTAAGTTAGTTACAAACTAGCTAGCAATAACTAAACCACTAGTTTATACACATTATGTTCATACACATTATGTGTGATGTAATTTGTTAATATAGTCAAATAAATACAGTCTCCTTATGCGTGTGGCCCATACACAATATGGGATATACTGTATATATGTGTATATATTAATGCTTACTTTAACATGCCGCTTTATCACATTCATGTTATGCATCTTTTTGCTGATGTACTGTATGCATGCATGTATCTGACTTCAAATCAGCCAGAGCATTCGAGGTAAAAGCAAGTCTGTTTATCTGGCCTTTATTTAGAGCACTTTAAATAAGTGGAACCATTATGGACTACATTGACTAACATGAGTCAGGAAACAGATGTTGAAAGCTACAGTATCACTACAATATAACACATCAAATATGACTGAAAATCATTTTACTAGAGTTTTACTTTAGTCAATAATGTGTAAGTAATACTAAAAACAACGTGTTTACATAGTAAACCTAATGTCAACAAATGGAGACGCAAACAGAATGTAGTTTGAGGACACCAGGATTAGAAAGTTTGTGCAGTTGCGAGGTGGTTTTGAGTTGTTGGCAACATACTGAACTCCAGCTGGAAAAGCTTAATCCAGCTTCTTTAGATTCAACACACACACACACACACACACACACACACACACACACACACACACACACACACACACACACACATACACACACACAGAGAGAGACCACTATGTATGGAATGAGGTGGCACGCAATTGCAAGCTCTACAACCAGTACACCACAGGAATTAGGCTTAAAACCTACTAAAATACCACCACTTATTTTTGCACTCGCTCTGTAGAGTAGAGTGACCCTCTTTTCTCCTTTTTTCTCACGGGGGTCATGGAGCAAGCAGAGCGTGGAGACAAAAATTCAGTGGCTTAAGAACTGTAACCAAAGTCCTGGGAAAAATACAAAATGCTGAAATTGTTTCCTTTTCCACCTTTTTATGGTGCTGATGTACAGGTTCAAGGCTAACCATAATGTTTTTTCTCAGTATATTTGTTTATTTGAATGACACAGTGAACTCGAGACTCCGACTACTAATCAGAATTACGACTTAAATAAAATGGCTCTGATGAGATGGGCTTACACCACAATTCTCTTTTAAAGATGTTTTTCTCTAACCATAAGTATTAAATGTCAGCAAGCAGATTTATAGCTTCTGGACGACAAAACATACAAAAAGATCCCATATTGGAGGAGCACTGCTTTCCATATATAACAATGCACACCCAGTTCTTTACTGAAAAAGATGTTTTTACAGCTAGCCATCATACTCTCACTGGCCACTTTATTAGGTACACCTTAGTAGTACCAGGTTGGACCCCTTTCTGACTTCAGAACTGCCTTATTCCAACGTGGCATAGATTCAACAAGGTACTGGAGATATTCCTCAGAGATTTTGGTCCATATTGACATGATAGCATCATGCTGTTGCTGCAGATTTGTCGCCTGCACATCCATGATGTTAATCTCCCGTTTCACTACATCTCAAAGGTACTCTATTGGGTTGAGCTCTGGTGACTGTGGAGGCCATTCGAGAACAGTGAACTCATTGCCATGTTCAAGAAACCAGTCTGAGATGAAACACGCTTTGACATGCCGCAATATCTTGCTGGAAGTAGCCATTAACAGATTGGTACACTGTGGTCATAAAGGGATGAACATGGTCAGCAATAATACTCGCGTAGGCAATGGCGTTGACATAATGCTCAATTGGTACTAATGGGCCCAAAGTGTGCCAAGAAAATATCCCCCACACCATAACTCCACCACCACCACCACCAGCAAGAACCTTTGATACAAGGCAGGATGGATCCATGCTTTCATGTTGTTGATGCCAAATTCTGACCGACAAGGCATTTGCGCCCACAGAACTGCAACTCACTTGATATTTTCTCTTTGTCGTACCATTCTCTGTAAACCCTAGAAACGGTTGTGCATAAATATCCCAGTAGATCAGTAGTTTCTGAAATACTCAGACCAGCCCATCTGGCAAAACAACCATGCCACGTTTAAATCACCTTTTCTTCCCCATTATTATGCTTGGTTTGAACTGCAGCAGATCACCTTGACCATGTCTACATGCCTAAATGCATTGAGTTGCTGCAATGTGACTGGCTGATTAGAAACTTGTGTTAACGAGGAGTTGGACAGGTGTACCTAAAAAAGTAGCCAGCGAGTTTATGTCTGTGCAGCAACTAGCAGAAATCATATGAATGTGAAGAGAATAATTTTCTACACACACATAATACATCTTCCTCCTTTCATACGCCAAAACCTCTATGCAACACAAGCTGCATATTTTAAGCATGTCTCTTTATTTGAGGATCTCGCTCTGGCAGAAAGTAATTTGTCGAGTAGAGAGTGTATTGCAACACAACATCCCAGAAGGGATCAGTTTATTTGAAGTGAAAGTTCTGTTTAATGTGGAATATATTAAGTGATATACAGAATGGTGCATTGAAAGGAAATATGTGTACTAGGCCTGGATGGTTTTTGTTGTTTTAGATTGTTATGGTTGTGTTTTTGTTGCTTGTTATAATCTATGATTTGTATTGTTTGCTTCTTGCTCTGTTCCATATTTCACAATTCAAACTAAACACTTCAAGTTAGAAAATACACAATAAGATTTTCATTCAAATGATTCTTCATGTGTCTTGCAGTTACAGGACCTACATGAGGCCCAGATACAAGGTTGCTTACAAAATGGTAACAGAAATGGAGTGGAAGTGCTGCCATGGATATAGTGGACAAGACTGTAACGATGGACCAAATGGGGGATCTGATACTCACATCTCAACAGGCAGACCTGGGAATGGTAGGTCAATACTTTCTCTCATGGTCAACACTGAATATATCATCTTAGCAATGTCTCCATATGTGCAACAAAAATATGTCAGTTATATATGTATATGTGAGCATATTATATTCCACCATTAGTTATCTTTGGATGTCTTTGGCGACTGTGTCTACTACTTTCTAACAATGTCTGGCTGAATTTATGTTATTGCTGCTTATTCATTATGTACATGCTTCTTAGATAAAAGTCTGGGCTCTATTTAGGGTTTCTTAAAGGGTCTTTAAGTTCAAGACCTCAGAATTAAATAACAAATGCAACTTAAAAGGGTGTGAAAAGTTCTGAGTAGAAGGTACTTTATGGGAGTGAGGCTGATGGGGCAAAGCAGGGGAGAAAGAGGGGGTATGTTTGACAACACTACCCTTTACACTGAACGCCTATGACAGATAATTCATAAGCAGTCACTTAGTCTCATATTTTTTTTTTTGTCTTTTCTTTTCTTTTTTCTGTTTTTTTTCTTTTTTTTTTCTTTTTTGATGTGCAGTACAAACTTGCATGATTGTCTTTGCAATTCGGTATTTGAAGGTCAGCTGATTGTTTAAGATCACTCCCAGGTTTCTTGACTAATTTCAGTGGGATAATTGTTGATGATCCTAGCTGGGTAATGAAATTATGTTTAATCTGATCTTCCGCATCTTAAAACACTCAATAAAATCTCAATATAACTGAGGATGTTAGAACACAGAACACACTGGGGCAGTGTCTAGGTCAGGGGTCACCAAACTTGTCCCTGGAGGGCCGGTGTCCTGCAGATTTTAGCTCCAACCCAAATCAAACACACCTGAACAAGCTAATCAAGGTCTTACTAGGTATACTTGAAATACCCAGGCAGGTGTGTTAGGGCAAGTTGGAGCTAAACCCTGCAGGCACACCGGCCCTCCAGGACCAAGATTGGTGACCCCAGGTCTAGGTCTGCAAAACAATTGCAAATGTGTTTTTTTTTATCTTAATTAACCTTGTGTTTTATCTTTGTCTAGGGAGAGGTGACAATGACAAGATGAGACAACTGGAGGACAAAATCCAGAGGTTGACCAAAGACCTACATGACCTGCAGTCAACACTGCGTGGCATGAATGAGAAATTCCAGGAGGAAATACGCAAACCTGGTATTAATAGTGGCAAAACACCAGCTGATGCAGCTCAGCCTGAAATGAAAGAGACTATCCATAACATTCAGACCAAGCTGGATCAGTTAGACAACCGTACTCAAGCTCATGACAAGACTCTAGTCAGCATAAATAACCACCTTGTGAATGGCAAAGGTGGAGGCAATGAGCTAGATGTTAGTGGAGTAGGGGGAAACAAGTTTAACATCTTGAAGGAGGAAATACTCAGAGAGCTTGAACGTCGAGTGACACTTTCTTGTTCCGCCTGTCAGTCTGGAGTGGAAGACCTGAAACGACAACAGCAACAAGATCGGGAGAGGATCTCGGCTTTGGAAAAGCAGATTAGTGCCATGGACCAACGTCACCGCCAGACTCTTGATGGTTTACGCCGAGATCTTAGCCGGTCACAAGGCTGCTGTGATACTGTGACAGACTTCAGAGCACGACTTAATGACATGGACAGAAAGATAAGCTCCACATCAGAAGCGTATGACAAGCTTCAGGACCGTCTGAATAGACAACCAGGAGGAACTGGAGGTGGTGGAAGTATTGGAGGAGGAATAGGTGGACAAGGACAACTCCCTTTAATGCCAGAAGATTTTTTCAGTGACAGTCTAAAAGACCTGGAGAGACGACTCAACAACACTGTTCAGAGAGCAGAGGAAAACTGTGCTTATATGGAAACTAACATACGGGACTCCTTCCAGCAAGATTTCAGAAATATTCGCAATGAATTCAACAATCGTCTTCTTGACCAGGATGAGAGGATTAATGACATAGAACATGATATAGGAAACGTTAAAGAATCTGTGTTTGATCTTGATAAGCGTTTATATCGTCTCGAGAATACAACATCTTTTATAGACAAGAGGTTAAGTGAATGCTCTGGGTGCACAGTCTCAAGTTCTGGGTCAAGTCCAAGCAGTGGTAGTTCGAGCATTGGGGAAACAGTTAAGTCTTTGGAGTGGAGAGTTGTTGCAAATGAAGATGAGATCAAGAGGTTTGACACACGATTCAAGGATCTCTCTGTGTCTGGTGACTCTCTTGAGGACAGGGTCATCAACCTCAGTCATGATGTTCGCAAGATCAAAGCTCTAACTGGAGACAATGGGGAACACTTCAACAGGATTGTCACAGAGATGGAAAACTGTGAAGTTTGCAGCACAGTGGAGGATGACCTGAAAAAACTCAAGAACATCACAAACCATGCCATGGACAGGTGGCAGAGGGAAATGAACTACATTAAGGGTGTATTTAACTCTGGTCAGATGGGTTGTGTGGATATATGCTCTGGTTTGCAGGATGAGATGGATCAGTTGAGAGAGGAGGTACAGAAATGCAGTGGTCAGTGCAAGATCAACCTGAATACACCTACAGGAACGGGAACAGAAACAGGTCACCTGGATGACCCTCAAAAACCACTGGATGGACACAGTGTCATTAGCAGTAACACCGGGGACCTTAGGTCAATCCAAGGAGAGCTGTCTGAGGTCATCTTAACATTCAGTTCAATCAACGACACACTAAAAGGTTTAGAGCATGTGGTCCAAAAGCATGACAGCGTTATCAACGACCTTGGGAACACTAAAGACAAAATAATATCTGAAATTGACAAGATCCAGCAGGAAATGACTGAACATATTGAAGATAGCAGGGTACGCTTTGACAGTGTCGATCAGGATGTACGGCGCTTTGGGAACAACTTTGTGGTTGAGATGGGTGACTGCAAGAGGACTGGCGATGGACTGGATAAGAGACTCTCCAAACTCGAAGTGGTTTGTGGTCGACTTGACTCTGTCTCAGACAATCTCCAGAAGATCAAAGAAGGCCTGAACAAACACGTGTCTAGCCTGTGGAACTGTGTCAGTGGACTAAACAACACCGTGATCTCGCACAGTGGGTTCATTGAGATCCTCCAGAACACACATCTGGATGATATCCATGGCAAGATCAAAAGACTCAACTCCTCTATGATCCACATCCTCAAGGAGTTCCAGAACTTAGCAGAGAATGATTTGACAGGTCTGATTATACGTGCTTAAAGTAGAATGTCTAAAGAGCAACATTTTAAAGAGTACTTGCATGCAAGAACATATTCTAAATTTCCTTCACCAGTAATTGAGATTCCTGCTGTATTTTAACTGATATCGGTAGTATGTGTACCATTTAATGAACTGAGAATGAATTCCAGATAATTTCCAGGTTACATTTCTTATAATGCATTACTTTGTTTTGAATCCTTTTGAATTACAATTCATCTGTCTGTTATTCCAAATCTCCAAATACAATTTTCCCAACTTTAACGGGTATGGATAGAGAACAAATCTTTGATTTGCTTCACCTCTGATTACAGGTTTACCTGGACCACCAGGTCCCCAAGGAGAAAGAGGGTTCTCTGGTCCACAGGGGCCACCAGGTAATGATGGACCACCTGGTATTCAGGGCTTACCAGGTCCAAGAGGACCTCCAGGTGAGAAATTCTGTTCATTATTCCTGTCCATGAAATCCATACATCAATCAACAGTGGTACTCTTAACCTAGAGATTACAATTTTGTCATAATTGTCCTTATCTACCAAAAGCTTGGATGTTTACATAAGATCTAATTTTGTGTTTAATAAAGGAACTCGATACAAGACTTGAATCCAATTGTTGTTGCACCACATATTACACGGACTAATTTTGATTTTTCCTATTCTAGGTCTCAGAGGAGAGAGAGGTATGTATAAATTTGCTTTAAATTCCTATAGCAGCCACATCTCAAACACCCATACTGTGTGCTAATGTCTGGAGTGAATGCAATAGTTCAGAGACATTTCAGTTTGTATGAGAGTCAGTGATATTTCTGCCTCAAGTGTTGCGACATGTGTTCAGTTGTTATTGTCAGTTCTGGGTCAGTAGTAGAAGCAAAGGTCAGCAGCTGATCACTAAAACTGGTTGTGTAAAGGAAGACTATATTAGACAGAGAGTAAAAAGGATAATTCTAGAGTTAATTATTTTTTTTTAAAGTAACTGTTGTGATCTTTGTTTTAGGTATGGCTGGTGCAGATGCCAATATAAGACGTCTTTCCTTCTCAGCAGCTCTCACAAATCCAATGGTTACAGCTGGAACAATTATTTTTGATAAGACCTTTGTAAATGAAGGAAACTTTTACAATTCACGAACAGGTAATCTTCACACTTTTACATGATGTGGAAGGAAATAACAAACAAAAACAGTATACATCTTTGTCTTCTCTTGAATACAGGTATGTTTACTGCACCAGTAGAAGGAAAGTACTTCTTTAGTGCTATCCTGACGGGACACAAAAACGAAAAGATTGAAGCTGTGCTGTCCAGGTCTAACTATGGCATGGCTCGTGTAGATTCTGCCGGTTACCAACCGGAAGGGTTGGAAAACAAACCAATGGCAGAGGCCAAACCCACACCAGGTTCTTTGGCTGTCTTCAACATCATCCTGCCCCTTCAGATGGGCGACACAGTCTGCATAGACCTCGTGATGGGCAAACTGGCTCATTCAGTGGAGCCTCTAACCATCTTCAGTGGCATGCTTTTATATGAAGATGTACAGATATAGCCCTGAGAGCAAACAGACTCAGTGGACTAGCAAAACGACGGGGCTAGAAAGAGACACGCTAAATAACGTTTATCCGCCCAGGATGACAATACACATGCCGCTCGTTGATTTTCCTGTGGTATAATTTCCAAATCTATGGATCTTGTAAGACCTCCAATGAACTCCTTGAACAGAGAATATAGTTTTATACGGAGGAACTGTCGCCCTTGATATGTAATCCTAACCCGCATTTTGGAGAAGTGTTGTAACAAATACTACTGCAGGTTTGTGCTGCCATTGATGACGATGTTCTTATTGAGATATTTCCATGTTATAGGAATCACAGACATGAGTTATGAATAATCTCTCATGCACCGAAGATGACCATGAGGTCTGTTTGACTTCCCATGTACGCCACTGCACGGTAAAATACTCTTCTGCCAAAGAGCTTGACTCACAGTCAGGGTTATAGGTTAGGCTGATGGGTGTGGAATTTGGGAGATTTGGTGAAAGGAATTCATGTTTTTTGCTGTGAATGTTTAAGTCCTGTGCTTCTTTTTCTACTTAGACTCAAGGCAAACGTGCCTTCATTTCAATTTATATTTCTCTATATTGCAAGTGCCAAGTTTTTGAGGAATAACATCCTGCTCTTGCCAAAGATGCTTTTACTGTGGTTGGTGGTTAATGACTTCAGGAAACATTCAATATGTTTTCCAAACTGACAATCAGTGAGGTATATCATTGCTTTCTGTGCAAACTCTCTGAGTGCCGCTGGAAAATTGCAACGAAATCTCCATTCCTGAGGCACAAACTTTCCTCAGTAGCATCTAACCAACAAGAAATCTTTGTGCATGCATTGTTCTGCATTTGTAATGCCGTTGACAACAACGTCAGTTCTACTGGAGTGGAGGACCATTGCATTTTCATATTTCCAGCTCACAGCCTGAGCGCTCAATGGAGATTACTATCAAACAGAGCCTGTCCTTAATGTGGTTCAACAAAGTGCCTTTGAAGAATAACAATGCTGAGGATTCAGAGGGTGTCCTTCGTCAACCGATTCTGTCTGTGTGGTCTGGCTCGAATGTTTACTGTAAGACATCCCAGAGAACTTTGAACTTACGTGGCTTTTGCTTTTTCTTGTTTGAAACATGCTTGTGCAATTTCACAGCACGCTAACAGAAAAGTTCTGCGCATTACTATGAACTTCCAGAGTTCATATGGATAAGAATGTTGAAGATTAAGGCTGCTATCTTTTATGTGCTATATTTCATGTATTATTTTTAGGTATAAAGAAATTCCGCAGCTCATAAAATGGACGCAATGTCAACATCTGTGTTCATGTAACAGACCTAAGAGTTCAAGATTTAAGATTTTATAGTTCCCTCTCATGGTTTAACCTGTTACCTTGAATGTGTACGTTGGCAACACGTGTGTTTCAAATAAAGATATTTAATTTTACACATTTGAATCTCTGCTGAGCCTAGATTTGCAAGGTTCTGTCAGGTGTGTTGGATTACTAGAAGACGTGGCATTTCATTTAGCAGACTACTGTTCGTTGTTTCAGAGACAATGAAGAGTGCACTGGTACACAATAAGCGTGATTGTGTTGACTAGAATTCCAGTCAGTGATTGATGGCACAGGTTTAGCCACAGTCTGTGACTTTTTTTTTTCTAGTCCTCATGGAAAAAGTCCATAAAGAAGTTGCTGGATCATTTGTCAAAGCCAAATGTGATTGAAAACACGTTCTCAAATAGAAAAGTACCCACTGTTTCCGTTTTTTAAGAACTTATTTTTTAGAGCCATGTGCACAGAAATGATGTGATTAAGGAGAGGAGTGCACAATGCATTTCATTTTCCATGTCGCAAGCCAGAGAAGTCGTTTGGAGATTGGCTTGTGATTTAATGGAAAGAAAAACATCTCTGGGTGTCCATCCATAGTCATACTGGGATGTAGTTTATGGTGAATAATGCCTTCTGTTTGTCTAGACAAAGTGTTGGCTTGTGAACCCCAGCCCTCTCGCTGATATGTGCCACCATGGGGAGTTTACTTATTTTTCCATTTCTTCATAATATTGTATTTCTTTATTGCTTTTAGTACTTTA